TTTGATTTTTTTTTAAAAAAAAAATTATTTAAACTTTTAAAAAAAAGCAAAAAATAATTAAAAAAAATTGAACTCAAGTCACTGCCTCAACAGCGACATAACAAAAATATATATATTTTGAAAATCGCTCCTTCGGGAGTGATTTTGTTTTAAAAAGTTATAAAAATATTCTTGGTGTGAGGGATACTTTGTATTATCTTGTCCAAATCTTCCAAAATTGTTTTTTGACCTTCCATTGTGGTTTATAAGGACTATTTATAACATTGTTGCATAAAAAAAATGTTATACACAATTAAATTAAAAAGGGAATTTTACAAAATCTTGTACGGATCTTTTTCAAATTAACTTTTTTTAAATTTAGCGAAATTCGAATATATCTCAAAATATTATATTTCGATTTCGATTACATCGATCTTGATTATTTTTTTCTAGCTTTTTTTCCTTTTTGGGAAATGTTTTAAGAATATACAACCCAACACCATATATTAATTGCACCCACTAGGATATTCTTTAAGGAAAAGTTACTTTAAATGCATAATTTATTTTATTATATTCTCTAAATTTTTATATTATTTGAAAAAGTTATAAAAATGTCTATTCTTCTAAATTTTTGGATAAATCACTTTACGCGATATATCAGATTTTTACTTTCAAATATATTACTTTACATGATGTATCAGATTTTCGAATACATTACCTAACACAATGTATCAAGATGTTGAGTGATATATCCAAAATTTCAAATTTATTTGAGACATTGAGAGATAGACTTCATAACTAAATAAAACCTAATATTATTAAACATATACTTTTGCTTATTTATCAAACATAACAAAAATTCATTTCATGATATCGCAACATTTTTAATGTGTTGCTAATCAATAGAATATTGGACTGATCCTTCATTTTTGTTTCTATCAGTGAAGAATTTGGCCAATTTCCAGATTCAATTTAACGAAATGATTCGTTAATTATTTGATTGTTAGTTAATTTCATAACAAATATGATTCATTTACTCCCATTGTCGAGACCGTGATATGAGTTGCCATAATACTTTGTTTCGTTTCGAGTGGATGATATTTTAAAAGAATCGAAATATGTAGGGGTGTTTAAATTTAAAATTCGAGATTTCTAGGACACGATTGAAGCTAATTTTGGACTGAATTTCACTCCTAGTTCGTTGAAGTTTGAAGTTACAACAATCGAATGGAAGCAAATTTATAGTGAAGTTGTATTATAATTGCAATGTTGTTGCAGATTTATTAAGTACGCAAAAAGTACCATGAACTTTATGAAAAATTTATACTTCATATATAATTTATACAGATTTTAGTTACGTGAACCATAAGCAAGATTCGATGCATTTTTTTTCCAAGAACCTAACATGAACTTTATATAAGTTTAAAGCAGTTAAAAAATGAAGTAATAAAAGTACAAGAAATAGAATATGGGAAGAAGACAATAGATAGTCACAGGATAGTAACTACAATGAAATCATATGACAGTCAAGTACAAGACTAACAAATAATAACATAAATTGAAGGACCTGAAACTATAGGAGCAATATTGCAACTACTAGTAAGGACGAATAACAAGACAACACACTGCTCTCTACTAACCTTCTACCCAAATTCACAATCTCCTATCTAAGGTTATGATGTCCTCGATAAGGTAGAAATGTGTCATGTCTTGTCTAATAATCTCTCCCCAATACTTATTCAGTCTACGTCGACCTATGATGAAATCATCCATAGTCAGCCTTTCATGCCCATACAACAGGGCATCCACACTTCTCCTCTTCACATCCCAAACCATCTATGTCTCTTCACATCCCAAACCATCTATGTCTCGTCTCCTGAATCTTGTCCTCCACCAAAGCCACTCTTACCTTGTCCCAATCCTCATTTTTTATCATCATGTCTCCTAGCAAGTCCACATCCATCACAACATCCTTATTTTGCAGCTTTCAACTTCTAAATGTGTGAGTTCTTGACTAGCCATTACTCCACCATACAACACAGTTGGTCTGGCTATCACTAGGTAGAACTTGCCTTAAAGTTTTGGTGGCACCTTCTTATTATTCAAGCCTCCATTTGATCTACCCCACACCAATACGGTTGGTGGCATACTCATCAATCTCCCCATTTCCTTGAATAGTAGACACAAGATACTTGAAACTTCCTCATGTTTGTATAATCTATGTATCGAGCCCACTTATATATCTGCCACATACATTGAATAATAATTTTATAAAAACGTAGTAATCAAATATTACATTAATAATTTAAGCTCTAAAACCTCCACTTCTCACATGCAGAAGAATGAGGTTTGAGTTGTTCACGTTGATGAACAAGAGAAGGCAATAATACATCTCCAATATATATTTGATTGAGAAGATGTTTCAAATTAGTAAATTGTTGGAGGCATTGTGTTCCCACATACCAGACAAAATTTCAAATTAAAAAAAAATAAAAAAATCCAATGGAGCTAAAACCACAAGCTTCGAATTGGATTTGAACAAGAGTCTTTGTCTATCACCTTGTGCCAATGGAGCTAAAACGACAAGCTTCATTAGCGGTAAAATGTAAAAAATATCTAGTTGATACTCGGTATCCTATGGTGTATTACACAGTTAAACTTTATATGTCCCACCATAGTACGGTTGCAAGATACACAGTAAAAGGGAGAGGAAGAAGAAGACAGTTCTCCATATTATCTATCCGTCTTACATGCAAAGACTGGCTTCAAAATTGTTTTTGCGAGAAAGCTCATTCAGTCAATGCAGCTGCAATCTTCTTGTGGATGGCCTCAACACCTAGACGAGGAGATAATCTAGGAAGTACCTCCTGCGCAATACATTCAGTGATGAGAATTCATATCTCAACATTTTGTAATTTTCCATAAACATGTTACATAAATGAAAAACTGCATGAAAAAAACCAAAGGTTCACATGGTAGTGGATATATTGCCTATGGCAGCTTCATCTCTTTATGGAGCATTTACCGTATATAGTGATAAGTTTTGTTAATGACAAGTTAATTGTTAACTAAGGCACTGCGATAACTAAGCTTCCGAAATATGCAACTGCTTGAGAATTTTGATTGGGGAAAGAGAGCATTCACCTTGCCCCGTACTGTAATCACTCAAAAAGTACCTCATAGCACTGAAAAAGGATAGCTTTTTTCCTTATCTTATTATAGGGGTCGTTTGGTAACACGGGATGAGATTAGGATATCACATGGGATTATTTTATCTCACCTTCTATATGGGATAGTAATTCTACCATTCTAGTACAAATGGTGGAATAAAGTTAATCCCAAATTAAACCCGATATTATTATCCTTATCCCATGTACCAAGTGAACTCATAGGGCTCGTTTGGTTGGGGAACAAGTTATCCCGGGATTAGTTATTCCATCCTCAATATGGGATAAAAATAACACTACAATCCCTGGATAAGTTATCCTACGATTTTATCCCAACCAAATATGAGATAAACTGATCTTAAAATTAATTCCGGAATTTACTATCCCTTGTACCAAACGAGCCCTTTAAGGTATAATGCACCAGAAGCTTTAAGACACTATATATTTGTTTAGTCAACAGAGAAAACTACCATTACCAAAATGTTAAATTGGTGAAACTTACTGTCTCAAAGAATCAGGTTCTTTGAATAACTATGCATGATGGTAAAGTGGGAAATAATAAATCAACACAAGGATTTTTTACGTTGAGAACTCCTGGATCAAGGAGGCAAAAATCACAATCAATCTCTCTATAGAATTTATCTCAACTATTCACTAGAGCTCTGCGTGTACCCACAACAATTCTCCCTAAGGTTGGTCACTCTCCAACTCTTCAATGGCTCTACCCAGTCAAAGAAGTTCTTTTACAATAGAAAACAACACCTAGTGCAGTCAACTAAGAATGTAATCCAGATCATGTTTTGAAATCACAAGAATCTAACTATTGCAACTCAAGAACAGTAAAGATATAACTTGATTTGAACACTTCATAGGAACAGGTTCTCTCGTTGTTGCAGTTGACTCTCTTTCCTTGAGACTCTCTCGTGCAAACTTTGCTCTAACTCTATAATATTTCTTTGTAAATGGTCAGCTTTCTTCAGCATCTTCAATGGACTTTATATACAAGTAGAATAGATACTTGTAGTCATGCCAATCCAACAAAGAATTTGAAAGAAATCGATCCTTATTTGACATGGATTCGGCTCCATGCATACGACCTCTTTTCTCTAAATCCTATGGTAATTTCATGTGTTCAATTATGGTAACTTTCCAATTCTTGAACTCCTGTTCCTTGAAGTATTGAGTTAAGACTAATTACAATTCTCCAAGCTTTCCTTTTTGTGCATGTGGCATAGCTTCTTCTTGTTGACTTGAAACAGTCTCCATTTTCTGAGAGGAACAGGTCCTCCGAGCAGTTTCCCCGCAGTGTTTCCAACTTCACCGTTCCTTGGAGATCTACTACGGACCTGGTTCTTATACTTCTTTCTTCTTGTGCATAGATTGTCATTTGTACAATGTTTGTCAATCATCGAAACACCATATGATCTTGAATATAGATTCAGTAGTTCCTGGCAGCTCCACACAAAAGAGACGATAGAGAAACCAACACTATGTATACAGACTAAAGGAAGACATTTCCAGCAAGCAGATATAAGGTTCTCTGGATAGTCAATGGTCATTTTATATGACAATCAATGCACCAACTAAGCCTCACCTCCAAACTAGCTAATGTTTGCTAAATGAAACCTCTATATCCATCCTGCTCAATTCTTGTACTATTCATTTTTAATACTAAATAATTTTTCTTTATGGTAAATTATGATTTTTGTAATGAACTAGAAATTCTCTTAAACTCAAACTTATTTCAACACTGGCTCACAAGCATGATTGAACCTTATCAGATTTTATCCTCTATATGTGCTACTCTTAACATAACCATTACCATATACTTGTCTTACTCCGTAAAACATTGCTGATCTCAATGCAGAGCAGTAGAAATTTACCTTTCACTTTGTTAGGTAATTTCCTATCACATGAAAATTCTCATAAAACTCCATTTCAACCATCCAATCTTTAATTTTATGTCTTACATCTTTATCTAAGATACCATTATCCCATAAGTTAGAGCCTAGATATCTAAAATTTTGCCAAGTGCGGGTTACCTTTTGTGTGGTTTGCGAGCTATTGCATAGGAGTGGGGGTTTTACCCTGTGCACATCCAAAGGGTAGCATCTGCATTTTCCTTGTCATAAAATATCTTCCTCAAGATAGGTAAGATGAATAACTCCAAATTCATGGATCTTACCTTATCCTCTCTTTGAAAAGAAGGTGTACTAACTAATAGTATCGAAACTTCTCTTCACTTTCTGATTCGAGGGAACTGCGGTCCATGAGTTACAATATTCGAAAGTGTAAATATAAAATATTACTGAGTGCACATGTGTACAAACTCTCAACACAGATATGGCTTATATTACGACCTATCAAGAGATGAAGAAAATGGAGTATACAGATACTTGGGGAGTTACTGCAACAAGTGGTTCAACACTTAAATGCAAATGTATTTTTCTATATCGATAAAAACGCATGAAAAATTTTCAATCTCCTGCACCTATTCAATGACTGTAAAAACAATATTTACTTCTTCTATTTCAGATCTCTATCAATGAGAGGAAGAACCAATTTCATGGCATCTGATGTTCTTCCACTATGACACCACTCCATTATTCTCTTCCCTTATAAAAGTAGAATTTCTAACTCTCATGTGTGACAGCAGAGAAAAACAAGGTCGGGGAGTATATTTGCCCCTTTTCCCTTTATATAATAATTTACGTTTTCTTTTAGTTAAGGAGATGGTAAGCTAGGATTCAAGAAACTACTTATATTCATGTTCTGGATACTGGAAGATTCACCACCCAATGGATTTCATGCCTCCCATACACACCTATTTCTTCTATCCCTCTGCCTTCTTATCATTCTTGTTCAAGCAAGACTCTACATATACTAACCAAATCACAGCACTTTTTTGTTTGTCGATCATCCCTAGTGAAGTTAATGCTCTTGAGAACCAATGCAACTCAATTGGAATGACACGAGAATGACGACTCAAACAATTCAAGTGGCTGTTCTTTGCTAGATAACCATTTAATAAAAATATCTATATTATATTGATTGTTTCCTGTTGGATAAACCAAATAATGGTTTTTCGTTTTACTTTTATTGGTTATATGGAATAAATTGAAAAAACGTAATTTAAGAGAACACATGAAAGCCATTGGAGAAATTTTGGTGCTTCCATTGATCAAGTCGTCCATGGGCTGAGCTCTGCCAAAGCTCTTTCATTTCTAAAGCTCTGCAAAAAAAGCTCCCCTCTTTCTTTTCTAATTTTCATACCAAAACCATGAAACTTTAAGTAGCCACATACGTCACTCCAACCTACTATTGTAACATACTGGATCATTTCATACCGGAGGTGATCCAGCGCCACACTTACTTGTGTGGAGTTCACAACCACATGATGAAAGTTATCCCTACAATTTGATGAATTTATCATGTACTGAATGCAAGATACACTAATCCCGGTAAGTAGTACATTTCGTGGAGAGTTGATTGGTTTTAAGTGATAGAAAGAAGAGGAAGAAAAAGGATAGCTATGTTTTCGCAATCCTTTTCCTTCATCTTCTCCATCCTACTAATAGACACCCAATTTTTCTTCCAAAACCAAAATTAAATTAGTTACAATGAGTTGCAAGATGATAAAAATTTACCATATTCCAAAACAGTAGCATACAACAACAAAATGCTAATCTAACCTCAGTGCCATCAGGACGCACTCTAGCCAACACAGGTATTTCATATTGATAAGCCTTCTCCCAATCAGGATTGCTAGTTATATCTCTAACCTGTAAAAACCCATTAAATCAAACTTCAAATAAAAACACAGCGTAAATTTGATATACAGCAAAAAATTGGTCCTACAACCTGTAATTGAACGTCGTGTAGAGAATGGGGACTGGAAAGCGAGAAAGCAGCATTGAGTTTTTCTTTGAGGCCATCACACAAACAGCAACCAGGCTTTGAATAGAGTATTAGCTTTCTTGATGTTGAAGAAGAAGAAGAAGAAGAAGACGAAAAAGCTAAAGGGCTAAAGACCCATTTGCTCTTTTGGTAGTTGAGGATTTTCACTCCTAGTGCTTGCTTTAATGGTGGCCTTACAGCACTAAATCCGATTGCAAGTCCAGCTGCCATTGCTGCTTTTGCTTCTTCTCAGTCCTTCAACCCCCAACCCAAAAAGATTGTGAATTTTACGGCCTACCAAATTGCACCCAAAGTTTTGCTACTCTTTGCAATCAACACCCCAATTTTGTGTAATTTGACATATAGCACAAAATTGACCCCTTAAACATTATGCACTTATCATTTATAGTCCTTTAATTATTTTAAAAAAAACTTATCAGTTTTGTATAAGAATTGTATATGATTATGAAAGCGTAAGTATTATTGATATAATGTGTGGTGTATTTCTATATGAACAAGTATACAAGAGAAGGGAGTTTGTTGAACGTAAGAGACCTAAAAGAGAAGAGAAACTAACTACATCTATAATTCAAACATACTAACGTACTAGAACTCTGTATCCTTATCATTATCATGCCCCTTCAACATTGGCTCAATTTACTAAAGAGCGATATTGCTAACAAGGTAGACAAAGGACTTTCTGGGAAGTGCTTTAGTTAAGGCATCTACAACACTTTCTACAGCCCTACATTTTGCTTCTGTTGAAGATCTGACAACAATATGTTGCTTGTTGGAGCACCAACTAATTGGATTCTTTTCAAGAAAAATAACATAGGCTGAAGTGGAGTGTCTACTATCCGAAATACCATATCAATCTGTATGTGAAGTGTAGTTCATAGGTTATGGTTCCTTTCGGATAACGAAGAAGGCTCTTTGTAGCTTGTCAATGCTTAGTTGATGGAGAGTGTTGGACGAAGTCCATAGTAGATTTCAATGCAATGCAAAGCCGCATGATAAGAGAAACTGTATACCATACTCGTGGTGCATGACGAAGTCCATAGTAGATTTGTGTAGTATACACATGTGATTGGAAAATGAGAGATGTACAAATTCAATTGGTTGTTACATGAAAAAGGCATATCATATAGAGCACCTTGTAAAATGACATTGTTTACGTCAAGTTGAAGCAATGTCCATTTCAGAGACACAACTAGGGACAAGATGAGGTGAATAGTTGTGGTTTTAATAAATGGATTGAAGGTGGAATGAAAGTCAATTTCAGGACGCTAATGAAATCCTTTTGCTACTAATTTGGCTTATGAATTCATCGGGCTTGTGTTTGAAAAGGAGAAAAAAAAACAAAAAAAGTGTTCAGAACTTAGATTTTAAAAGTGACATGATCTAGGTTGTTGGTCATATATTATTTTAGAAAAGATATTTAGTTTGAATTATTGTCATAACTTTTATATCTTTTTGTGATTACTGATCCTTATGATCATTTTGTGA